TTCCAGAGAAGGTTACTATGTAGGTCTGAGTAGGCCGCACAGGGAAACCACACTCAATGGGTGTAGGCACCATGGAATTCTCCAGGAACTGCAGGAGAACAAAGAGAGAAAGCAAAGTGGTTCTTCCTCTGGAGCACAAGGACAATGCTCATTCCTTGCCTCGAACATCAGCAGCCTGCACTCTCCAGCTCTTGGACTCCGGGACTTATACCCAAGGTGCAGTCCTGGGTTCACAGGCTTTCGGTGCTGACTGGAGTTACATATTCAGCTTTCTGGTTCTAAGGCCTTTTGACTCGATATTTAGTAATACTTCTTGGCAGCTATACTCAGGTAAGTCAATTTCTAATATATCTCTTCCACATAAGTACATAGGTATCATTGGTTCTGTCTCTGTGGAATCTAATACATGGACCATATCAAATGACATCTTCAAAGTGCTAAAACTTTCCCAACAACCTAAAATTATATATCTCAGCAAATCCTCTGTAAAGGCTAAACAAAAAGCTGAGCAAAGTCATCAACAGAAGATGAGCAATACAAAAACTGGTAAATGAACATTTTCAAGCTGAAGAAATGATACCACATGGATACCTGGATCTAGATATATGCATAAAAGAGTGCTAGAACTGGTAAATATGGAGATAGACATAAGAGGCATTGTTATTTTCCTGAAGAGAAAACTGGCTGTTATACATATTGTGGGGTTATATCACATACAGAAGTAAAGTTGTCAAAAGTGGGTAACTGGAGATATATATTTTTTAAGTTCTAACATGATATTTAAAATGTCATAAAGTTAATTCAGGAGTAGACTGTGTTAAATTAGGATGCATTCTACAACTGCTAGAGGTTATCACTGAACACAGAAATAAGACAGAGTAAAGCTAAAACATCAGTAGAGATTAGATGGGCCACTGAAGCCAAAAGAAAAGCACAGCACAGAAAAAGAAACAAAAAGGACAAACAGAAAACAGTAGGCCAGTGGACTTCCATCTGATCACAGGACTAGCTAGCTACACACACTGGCAGACTACTGTGGTGGCCGATACACAGTGTCAACTTGGCTGGATTGCCTCTGGATGCTGTGGGGGCCCCACCCCGTGGGGTGTGGAGGAGCCTGCCCCAGAGTGACTCAGCACAAAAAGGGGATATAAAAGGGTTGAGGAAGGATTCAGTGTTCTACATCCTCCCTCAGAGGAACTCCAGTCTTAGCAGTCAGCTTGGACTTCATCTTCTGGCTTCCAGGGCAGACTCTTGGGCCCCTGCTTGGATCCTCCAGTTTTCTGTCACAGATTCTTCAGCCTTCCGTCACAGACTCATCAGCTGTCTGGTAGAGCCTTATGTGGAACACTGCAGTGAGCTTCAGATCTTGGGACTGAATCCTTCAGTCTCAGTTGTGCAGACACCCCCTGCACGCTTCCTCATCCAACTCTGAGGCTGACAGTCAAGCCAATCTTGTAATTTCTTATACATTTGTATGCCTTGTGTAATATCTGTTCCTCATATTATATCTGTTCCTCTAGTAAAACCCTAATACAACTATGAACTCCACTTAAAAAAGCAGAGATAGTCAAATATGTAGCATGTATTCAACACATGAGAGTGGTTATCTACAGAAGCAATACCCCAGCCTCTGCGTAAATATGAGAAATGACTAAGATGGCACCTCAGGGTGATTTCAACACAATCCCTACGAGAAGGAGCCGGCCTCTGAAGGTAGTTAATAGCTGAGATTAATCGGTACATCATAGTCATTACCTACTTTGCTCTTCATGATGACGGCATGAGGAAAGTGCTTGCATTGCTCCCTTTCTAGGGCCCAGAGAGTGAATTATGTGGCCAGGATCACAGGTTAGGGAGCCCATGTTCATAGCCACACAGTGTGGCTTCTCTGCTGAAGCCAGTCAGCTTTCCCGTTTCAGTGACATGTACTGGAACAGAAAGGAGGAACCCAGCAAAGCAAGGGGCAGAGGTAAGCAGGTCTCCACCTGGGCGAGGAGTTCCTCACCATCAGACCTGAGCATATAGTATTCTCTCAGGAACACATATGTGGCAGAGATGGGCTCATGTAACTACTCAAAACAAGGAAAAACCCACTGAGAAGTTTTTAGCACATTATCCTTGCTATATTTCAGAGCTCACAAAGCAGCCCTCTGATATATGTGACTGTGCTAATCAAGACATGCAAAAATTCTATATCCTAGGGAGCTACATTGTCACTGTAAATAAGAAACTGGCATCTGGTTTATGTTTCAGACTCCTAAAGTTATGAAGCATGACTCAGTTCCTGCTGAGCTTCTCTCACCTCTGGATACAGTAACAGGGATCTGCATCATGCAGGCCTCTGAAATGAGTCCTGGACCAGCATCACCACACAAGCTAACTTCTCAGCAGATGCACAAAGAGCCTGCGAGGTGGAGGCTGAGGGGCCACTAAGCCACCCAGACATCTGTCCAACCTGGCTTGCTCTGACTCAGTTGCACGAGCTAGGAGCAAAGATTATAGTAAAGTATGAGCAGAGTATCTGTGCCGTACAGTGCACATGTGGCAAGTTACTGAGAAGACAAAAACCATATTACGTTAAATCACATTTTTTATCACAGATTACTGCTGAGAAGCCTCTGCAGTTTCACACAAATCACTCATTCCAAGCAGTAAGAAAACAACTGATTAAAAGACAAAGTTTGCCCAGAAACATAAGGTACCAGCAAGATACAGGCGTGTGTAAAGCACACTAAGGAGGCAGCTGGTCAGCCCAGTCAACCAAAACACACAGGAGCACAGCAAGGCTGCAGGAACGTCTCCTAGGCACATAGGTACAGAGTTCCTCACTGCCTCAGACCAACACAAATGAGCTTTTCTCACCTCTGCTCAGAAGAAGCCTGGGAAAACAGCAGCCAAGTTACCTGCACAGCAGGGCCACCCCTTCCCTCAGTCTTCCACAACAGCTGCTGCCAGCATTGCTCTGGGCCCTCCCGACCCTGCTCCTAACATTCTGCAGGGACCCTCAGGGCACTTCTGCTCACACCCACCTCCCTAGAGCCCTCCTCTCAGGACTTGGCTCAAATGTCACTCCAGTGCCTCTGGATATGAAGTTGAGCCCTGCCCAACCCTATTCTATATCTCTGCTGAGCACTTTCATTAATGTGCCTCTCCCTCTTTAGTAAAGGATGTTCCATGAAAGCAGGAATTTTATCTGTTTTAATTTTACTTTGTCCTACTGCTGTAGAATTTAGAACAATGCCCAGCAAGAGAACAGACTAGGAATAATATGCTTGTAATTCAAAGTCTAACAGGGAAGAGAATCCCAGGCTGACACACAGACTCCCACACAGCACAACAAGAACCTTGCTAAGCTCAGCCTGGAAGAGTGTAGAGCCCTCGCTGACAGATGGGAATCAAAGCAAGGTGGCAGCTGGGGGCTCCCTGGGACACAGCAACGTAGAGAGGGTTCAGAACAGGTGGCTGCAGTCAGGGGAGCCAAAGGCTAAGTAGTCCCAGAAAGCTAGGGCACACCTGCGGGCAAGGGTCATTGAGGGGTTTGAAACTGAGGGACGGTATAACCAGATACACTTTTTATAGAAACAGCAATGGGGAATGGGGTGGGGATGCAGGTGGATCTATAGCAGGGAGAACATTGACAAGATTATCCCAAAAGGACCAGTGACACTGGAACTGGAGGTGGACGATGGAGATACAGGGGTCATCTGCATATGAAGATGGCACTTTCCTAAAACTGTACCAGCAGCACTCCCAGGCATCTTTTAAGCGGGTGAGGGTTGGGGGAGGTAAAAGGGAATACGTTCATGCCTTTATTAAACTAGAAACTTCAACCCTGGCCACACTACTATCCTGCTGTGCAGTCCCTGACAGCCATTACAACACACTGCTCCATGTTTACCTTATCATGCAGCTGAGCTCACCACTGCATGTGCTATGAATTATGCTCAGCCACACCCCTACCAGCCACAAACTTCATGGACAGCCCACTTCTGCTTCAGTAACCTCCCAGCTTGCCACCCTATAAAACTAAAGGCACCTTCCAGTCCAGCCGGATTCTCAGAGGCTATGCCTGTAGGCATCAAATCAAGTTTCCTGTCTTCTCCTGAGCACCTGACTCAGCGGCTCTCCCATTTGTCCCAAGACACTGTCTCACACTTGCAGGTCAGTTTTTGCTGACAGTGTCCCTCAAAACTCACAGCCCTAAATAAACCTAAAGAGGACCACACCGGCCTTTCCAACAACACTCACCCCTGGTGGAGAGAGAGGCCATGCTCCCACCTGCTGCTTGTCCACTGCTAGGAAGCCAGGGCGGCATTAGCCCACCACAGAGAGTGAGCATGGGGACGCTGGTTCTGCAGGGGAAAGGAGCGCAGCTCTCAAGAAAATAGGAAGAGGTGCCAGGCAGCCTGATGCTCACAGCCGCGCCGTCCTTCTCTCTAACTGATCCTTTACTCCACAGTCTCTCCTGACTGATGGTGCCGACTGGGGGAAAGGCAGCCTCACCTTACTGCTCAGTTCCAAGCTGTGCAAACTTGTGTCTGTCCTCTGCAAACAGTCCTAGTTACTGGCCTAGGAGCTGCTTCCTGCTGTTCCTCACACAGCCACTAGAGTCCCACCTCCTCTCACAAATTTCTTCCACCTTCACTCCCTGTCCTCCCGCGAGCCCTCTCTAGGTGACGCAGCTGTTGAACACACCTACTAAAACTGCAGATCTCCCACCAGCCCAGCTGTCTTTGTCTCTCTCCATAACCCTCGTCACCATCTTACTGGCTATAGCCACTGTTCTGTCTGCTCATGGCCTGTATCCCTATTGCATAAACTCCATGAGAACCGGGGCATTTGACTGAATCATTCACTACACATCCAGAACAAAGCAGCCTCGTAACAAACAGCTGATGAGTGAGTGAATGACTGTGTCCTCATCCCTTCTCTGGAGGTGAGGGGCAAACACAGGCTGTAGCAGGAAAGATCATACCAGCGATGCTTGCTGTACTTACTTGGCGCAGTGCACCCAGTGTGTGTGTCGGTACAAGGAATACAAGAAGCGCTGGCGGTACATGTTCCATACTTTGATGGATTTGTCTTCAGACGCTGTAACCAGAAACTGTCCATCAGCTGAAAAATTCACACTTCGAACTGGAGCTGTGTGAGCTTTAAATTCTGAGGATTTCCCTCGCCTGGAAGTAAAAAGTTTAATATTGATAATTCACTTAACTGCAATCAATATATTTTAAATTTTTTTTATTATTTGTTATAGGGTCTCGCTATGCAGCTTGGACTCCTAGTGATCCTCCTGTCTCAACTTCCCCAGTGCTGGGTTCACAGACATGCGCCTGTTTTGGTGGCCAGCTCAGTGTGCGGCCGGCATGGCATGAGACACGGGATTGAAGCTGGGTCCTTGCACTTGCCAGGTAGTCACTTAGACCGCTGAGCTATCTCCGCTGCCCTGTAACAATATCGAATTAGTATACAGATTCTGAAACACACAAGATTGGTTCTCTTATAAAACCTAACAGAAGTATGAGAAAGCTCAATAATGTTTGAACCCTCCACAAAGTTTTATGCTGATCTGGTTCACTAAAGTCACAATAGATATTTAACAAAAAACACAAAGGCTGTTCCTACCCATGCAACCCATTTGCTGCTGCTTAGCTGGAGGATGGGAAAATAATATGAAGTCTCTAGCAGGCATTTTAAGTTCCTACTGTTTGTTTCCAGAAAATGGCAATCTATAAAAAGCCAAGACCATGAAGTCAGCAGCCCCAGGCAGTGTTTTAAAGCAGGTCCTGAGGAAGGGGTGGGCTGGCAGTCTGGGCTGGGAAAGGAGCCACGTGGAGCCCCACACCTTCCTGTTTGCTCCTGCTTTCCTCTCCCCTGGGCTTCTACCCACCAGGAGTGGAGACTGAGGCCCTGGCCCAGCCACACTAAGGCCTGTGCATCTGGGAGGCCCACTCTTACACTCATAAGCAAAACACATGGTAAATGGGGAAAAATACTGCACCTCAACGTTCTGAAATTTCAAATACTTTTCTTTCTTGGCTAGCAAGGAAAAAATGTAACTAAAAATTGTTAGGTTTTCCAGCAGTGCAGTATAGAGATAGGAAAGATAAAAAAGCCTTGCCAGGCATGGTGGTGCACACCTGTAGTCCCAGCTACTCGGGAGGCTGAGGTGGGAGGATCGCTTTAGTCCACGAGTTCTGGGCTGCAGTGTGCTATGCGCATCGGGTGTCCACACTAAGTTCGGCATCAACATGGTGACCTCCCAGGAGCGGGGGATCACCAGGTCGCCTAAGGAGAGGGGAACAGGCCCAGGTTGGAAACGGAGCAGGTCAAAGCTCCCGTGCTGATCAGTAGTGGGATCATGCCTGTGAATAGCCACTGTACTCCAGCCTGAGACCCCTTCTCAAAAAAAAAAAAAAAAAAAGCCTTTAAAACTCCAAAGATTGGGGAGATGGCTCAGCAGAATAAGCACTTGCCTGGCAAGCGCAAGGGCCTGAGTTCAATCCCAGGTTCCGCAAAAAACAAAACAAAACAAAACAAAACAAAAAACTCCAAAGATGCAGTCAGGATGGAGAGCAGATGGGGGAAACTCTGACCTGAGACAAAGAAAGCTGAGACTTTTATGGAGTTTTGCTAGGGGTGGAGTTTGAGGGGCAGTTTCCCTTACATGTAAGGAGCTGACCAGGGTCTCCCCTGTGTTTGCAGGAGAGGTGAGAGGAAACTGCCCAGGACTGGGTTGGTGGAGGAGGAGGAGGAAGTGGTCACCGGGAAGATGAGTTGATGGCTTCAGCCATGTGAGATGACCACTGTAATAATTCAGCAACTCACAGTAGGACCAGAACTTGTCAAAAAACAGATGGAAAAAATGTGAGACATTTAGAAGAAGCAGAAAAACTTAAAATAGGAGTGGGCTAAGTAGTGTTGAAGTTACAAGACGATATTTGTTTTTTTTTTTTTTCTTCTTTTTTTGTCTTTTTGAGGCAATTTAGGCTGGCCTTGAACTCCTCCTGCCTCAGCCTCTGGAGTGCTGGGATTACTGGCGTGTGCCACCATACCCAGCCCGAAGGTGATAGTTGGAAAACTGTTAATCTGTGTTAGAATTCCTAAATTCTGATGGCATTTTCATTTTACACTACATCCAGGACGACTTAGCAATTGCTTGTTTAGAAAATTATACTACTGATACCTTATAGGGAAAATCACCAGAATTGTTTAAAAAGACCAGGCGAAAGAATGTAGTGATATACACACACCTGTCTCCAATTTTCTGTCTCATTCTGGTGTCCCACACACCTGTACAACATACTGTGTTTGCCCCTATCACCAAGCCAGAATGAAGCCTGGACATCACACTCAACTCCTCTCTCTTCCTCTCTCTTATCTGCCAACTCAACAAACTTTACATAGTTTCCACTTCCAAAATATCTTTTAAATATGCCTTTTCTTTCTATCCCAGCTCTGCCTGCCTTAAATAGGAAGCATCGAGTATGGGCAGCCTCCACCTGGATTACTGCAGGAGTCTCTTAACAGTCTTGTACTGTAATCTTTAATTCTGCTCTGGTCACCCACATTGCTTGCTTACACCCTTGCTGAAAGTGTCACCCAAAGCATGCGGATCTTGGTGTATGGTGTACACGTGTCACTGCTCCCTTGCTCCAGTATGAAGGACAACGCCCAAGCTCCACAGTGAAGGAGCCTGCCACTACGCTGAACTTTGTACTCAGAACAGCCAGTGCTTAAAGGCACCCGAGCCTTTAAAGGCTTTCGCGGGCTGTACTTCTCCCACTAGCAGAACCTCCTGACTAAGCCCCATAGGCATAATCCCTCCCTGTCCTGCAGTAATATTACTTCACTACGTTAAATGCAGACTTTAAAAACACAGACCCGTTTTTCTCCTATTAAATACAAGATTGAAGAAAAGAACAATGATTTGTTCTTCTGGGAAGAATCAACATTAGCTAAAGGTTCTAAGGTCCAACCTGGCTTTTTCTTCTAGAACCCTGTAGAAGGCAAAGGTGACTTCATCACTAATCTCCATCACATGACATATGATAATACATCAGAGATTACCAAATCCGTGTTCAATGGGAATTTGGAAGGAAAGTTAGGACTAGTAGAACAAGGTCTTAAGGGAGAATTTTTATTTGAATAGAAATCAGGAGTATAACTTGGCCTGAATTCAAGCATAAGTCCTGAAGAAAACTTCTGCAATGAGCAGGAAGTCAGGGACAGCCAATCTGAGTCACCAACACCTGCTCTGCCCTTCAGCTGTACAACACACACACACACACACACACACACACACACACACAAACACACGTACACATCTACTTCACTGACAGGCTCTCACCAAAGACTGAAAAACCTACTGAAATAGACCAGCCAAGAGATAAAGATTGAAATGAAGGTATAGTGTGATTAGACAGAACATGGTTTCTGAGTTAAACAACTGTCCCGGTGAAGAAAGACGCCTAAACATC